AGTAATCTATCGTATTGTTGACGAGTGAAAATAGATTATGTCGTCTTACCCTTCATATCCATGTTCACATTATGTGTTCATTATACACAATATTCTTTGCAATATATTATAGTATATATATGAGAAGCCCACATGTGTTAAGATTACATAGAAACATATATGTATGCACATAAAGACACACATAGCTTCACTGTCATGACACATTGAAAGAGAATGCAAAGGAAAGAACAAAACATGAAGAAACATATAGAAAGCAAGTGGATACACCACATAGCGACTGATGGGAAGAAGCTCCCTTCCAAAATGTCGGGAGAAAGTGTCGATTTCAGTAAGAAGCTCTTGGGTAATGGATGATGCGGGTACAGTTTGATCGAGCTTTAAAAATTACGAATCCCAGTCGTTACACCATTCGTGCAGGTCGCTACTTTGTACAATGTATGTTGAATTTTAGTCACTTACGAACAAATTTTTGTAAGTAAATGAACAGGAGTACTCTAGCATTGTGATCTAATTAGTCTATAGTAATCCCGCATTTTTTATAGTTGGTTAATTCGTGTACATAATTTTGGCCTTAAACTTCAGATTTCGACACAATGGTTTATTAAACTTGGCTAACTTGAGGATAATTTTGACCGAAAATTCGAATTTCCATCGTAGTTTTAATCAGACATATATGGATGATGTGTCGATTTTCAAATGGAATGCAATTCCATACGAAAATTGACCCTTCATGCATATGTGTCCAAATTTCAAGCCAAAATTGAATTTTTGACCAAAATTATGTCAAATATTTTGTTAATTTTGAATAAGATGGAACTACTATCAATTAACCCAATTATAGTTGAATTGCTTTTTGTACATTCTTAGAGTTATTGTTCAATTTTTATTTTTATTTTTATTAAAACAAAATCTTAATTGACTAGAGCATAACTATGCCCATCGAAATAGATTAACTTAGTTTGAAAATGTCCCATTTTAGTGATTGCAAAATTTACATTTATACTTCACTTGATTAGTGATGAAACTCAATAGCATATAGAGTGGGCCTAATATGGTTGCTCACTTATGCTTTTCATACTCAAGCTATATATAGTGTTTTTATTCATGGCTTTTATCTTTTTTTTGCACTTGACTCTCATAAATAGCCAAGTAGAATCTTAACTCTACAAGATTTAAGCTTTTGAAATAGGGAGATGCTACGTACGGTCCGTTACGGGATCATTTCGTCGGAGTTTGTAATTGTTAGATCAACTATCCCGACGGTTGCATGATGATGATCTAACAGTTACAATTCACGACGAAATGATTTTGTAACGGAACCATAGCATTCCCTTTTGAAATAATGAAAGGATATTAGTGTAACATAGAAAGGCAAAGAAATAATGATTATGGACATGATTAATTACTCTATCTAGCATGCTATCGTGCCTAAAATATTCATCATATACCAAAATGATTAGTAACAACATATAATGATATATATATATATATATATATAATGACAAATTTTCTTTAGTGAAATAACTAATTTCACCTTGTTTTGAAGTCGTGTTAAGTTTTTCACACCGTTCAATAAAAAACTAAGTTTTTCACCCAAAAAAATGCGAAAGGCATTGTGCGATGAATATGCCACAATTGCGCGATGACATTGTGCGAAAGTTGAAAGTGCGAAGGCATTCACATATCCTTCGCACTTTCTATGCTGAAAAAAAGTTAAAGTGCGAAGGCATTGTGCGATGAATATGCGACAGTTATGCAATTGATATGCGATAGTAGGCGACAATTTTTTGCATAACCTTCGCATATGTGACAGCTATGCGATGAATATGCGACAATTTTCGCATAACCTTCGCACTTTTTAGGATGAAAAACTTAATTTTTTTATTGATGGTGTGAAAAACTTAATGTATCTTTGTATTGGGGTTAAAAAAAAAAAATCCCTTTTCTTTATTACTTATTTATTTGGAAGATCTTTTTTAAAATGTATTAAAGGAATCAAATGCACATGGAAAATTATATTTTGGTCCCTATCATATAATACTGATATAAAAATACAAGAAATAATAGACAAACTCATATGGACCTTACTTTTAGTGTCTTAGTCCTATTAAGACACATGGAGATTAGGTTTCTTGATTATACTGAAACAAGTGTTGAGTGTTTTTTTTTATTATTATTATTATTGTTATTGTTCATTCTCTTGTTTATTAATTAGTTTGTTTGGAATTATGTTTAATTATATATGTTAGAATATTGCATCACAATTTATAAAAATGAAAACTCTCATATTAAAATGGTATTGTTCATAAAATATCACGCAATAACATTTTTTAACATCGAAATAGATAAGAAAATTAAACCATATGTAATCATATGTTTTATATTGCAAATATGCATTTTTCGCTGAAATGGTATAACGTGTCGACTCGTCTGATATTTAAGATGTTTCACACAAGAACTCGCGATAAATAATATATATAATAAACTAATTAAAGGTGACATTTTGAAATATAAATAATTTTCGAAACCTAAAATTCACATTTTTTTGGTAAGATTTCGAATTTGGTGACGCTCCAAAATCATGCAATAGCGACAAAACTGAGTAATGGTCCCCATTTTTTGCACCAAATAAAAGATAGCCCTTTGCCTTTTGCTAATTATGGTGGAATTGCTTTTTGGCCCCCAATGTCTTGGATTTTTCTGAAAGTGGACCTCCCCCAATTATTGTCTTCATAAGTCTCTATAGGCTATGTTTGGTTCAAACGAGGGGAGGGGAGGGGAGGGGAGGGGAGGGATTTTAATGGAAGGGAGGGGAGGGGAGGGGAGGTGATGTAAAATGATTTTACCTTGTTTGGAGGGATTTTGTAGGAGGGGAATGAAGGGAAAATAGTTAACCTTGTTTGGTTAAGAAAATTGAGGGGAAAGAAAATAGTGTTGAAATGACAGTTATACCCTTAATGATGTAAGAGATAAAAAATTAAAATATTTTACATATAAAGGACAAAAAAATAATTTTACAACTTAAAATTTTCTCTCCCCTCCAAATTCCCGCACTTTTGGAGGGGAGCAAATTTGGGGAAGGGGAGGGATTTTAACTTAAAATTTTCCCTCCCCTCCCCTCTTAAATTACAAACCAAACAAAGAAAAATTAAAAAATCCCCTCCCCTTCCCTCCCCTCCCCTCCAAATCGCTTGAACCAAACACTATGATAGTGTTTTGTGGACCTTGATTTGAAGAACAAAAGGAGGAAAAAATAAAATAAAATAAAATAAAATCATGATTGTTAAAAAACAGTTTTACTATGGAGCAATCAGATAGCTCGCTTATGGAGCCAACAATTATTATTAGCAAATAATGTATTGACACATGTCTTGCAATAAATACACATTGAATATGTGTCTGTATATAAAATGATGAGTTGCTACATAAAGGAGTCATCCGATGGCTCCATAGACTTTCTGTGTTAAAAAATAAACAATTCTATAATATCAATTTGCTTTTTTTTGGCTTTTCTATTTTATTTTTTTTTTTTGTCTTTTTGGGACCATCTTTATCATCATTGGTTCTCATCATTCTTATTACTACTTATTATCCTCCATATTTAAAATATTATTATTTTAAATATAATGATTAAAAGATACAAAATATCATTTTCATGGGAAAATACAGTTATAATTTAAAATGTCCTCTATAAGTTCTGTGACCTTCTTCTGTCCAATAGTGATGATTCCAAAAATAACTTTATGGACCACCAAAGACTAAACAAAGCTCATAATCATATAAATATATAATTTTTTGAGATGTAATGAATTTACTACATGATATTTCCTCCAAATATTCAAGTCCATCATATAAGGAAGGAACTTTATAGTATAAGATTCCAAATGCTCACTATCTTATAAATATTATTAAAAATAAAAATTTTGACCATCATCACACATTTTTGAACAATATTCACTGTTTATCAACAGTTATTTTAAAATATCATCATCATATTCATATTCACTATCTATCACACTTATTAATTCAAAATGTGCTGCGCATAAGTGGCATACTCGCATGTTTCGGGTCCTATGTAGCAAAAATACATGATTCATTATTAGGCTTGTGTAGATTTTAATTTTATTTTCATTTCAAAATAATTAGGTCCGGACTATCTAAAAATATATTAACTATTTATGCTCATGTTACATGTATTAATTGTATTTTAATATCATTTGTTATTATAAACATTGAATTGTAAATTTATTTTAAAAGTTTATAATTTTTGTATTTTTTATCAGTTTTACATATATAATATATAAAATTAATCATCTTTTGATGAACTTTGATTTAATATCTATATTGTATGTATAAAAATAATAAATTATATTTATCTTTAAAATTTAAGAATATTTTTTTAATAACAATATGTGTGATATACAGTTGTTGTACTTGTACTTTACTCCCTCCGTGTCTTTTTAAGAAGTTACACAGTTATTAAGAATATTTTTTGTCAATAATAACCCTCATTAAGGAGGATAGAGATGAATGTTTTAAGAAAAAATGAAGAGAGAATATGAAAGACATAGTGTATTTATTAGCTACACGAGTGTAATAATAAAAAAATATGTACAAAATATTCAAGACGATATTTATTTTGTTAATAATTGATGATGCCAAAATGACATTTAAAAAGAATATAAGGTATTATTAAATAACACAAATCGAATTATCAATTTATTTTATTTTTTTGCGTAAATTTCACATGGCCCCAAAATACAATACATACCGTACAGCACGTGGGACCCACCTGGCACAAAACGCAACTGGCTGATTCACAGAGCGCCACGTCTCACTACTGTCATTCCACTTAATCCCAGGCCCAATTTCGTCATTTCCACTCTTCTCCACCAACCTTTCCCCTATAAAATCCAACATCATCACACAATTAATTAAAAAAAAAAACACACATTTAATACGCTACCTTCAACCGCTCCGTTTCCATCTCCGATCGGAAAATGGGTTTTCCGGTGGGTTACACTGACGTGTTTCTCCCCAAATTGGTCATCCACCTGCTGACATTTCTGGAATTCGTTCGTAAATTCGCGTCAGCCGTCCTCACGTTCCTCGGGCTCGGGGACGCCGCCTTGGAGCCTGAACCGGTGCCGGCGTACCCCGCACTGCACGAATCCGGGTCGGATATCCGATCGTTGACGGCTGCGCTCATCCGAGAGGCGCTCCCGGTGGTGAGGTTCTCGGATTTGGCGGAGGGGGCGGCGGAGAGCTGCGCGGTGTGCCTGTACGAGTTCGGCGGCGAGGACGAGATCCGGCGGCTGGCGAACTGCCGGCACATATTCCACCGGAGCTGCTTGGACCGCTGGGTGGACCACGATCAGAAGACGTGCCCGCTCTGCCGGACGCCGATCGTCCCCGAGGGCATGGAGGAGGCCTTCAACGAGAGGTTGTGGGCGGCGTCGGGGGTATTGGATCTGTACGGCGAACACTCGCCGGTAACGACTGGTTGGTGCTAATTTATTTTTTTAAGATTAGATTTAGACATTTTTTCTTTCCTTTTTTTTTTTAATTTTCTCCCACGCTTTTTTTCTTTTAATATATATATTTTTTTTTTTACACTTTGGTATGTGATGGAATGTAAATATCACAATTCACAGGCAACTTTGAAATATTGGAAATGATTTAAAGAAAGGGGAAAAAATAGTTTGGTGTACCGTTTACTCAATTCAGTTAAGACTCGTTTGATGAACCGGTTAACTCAGTTTCATAAACAAGCATATCTTGAACTCATTTAATTAACAAGTCCGAGCTTGTTAGATCGGCTCATTACTAGTGATAAACTTAAACAAATCGAGCTTGTGCTCGATTATTGATTTGTTAGTTTGGCTCAACTTGAACCCACTGGTGATAAACAAACCAAGCTCGATTTCAGTTATTCCTTTTGTTGGCTTGGCTCAGCTGAGTTTGAACCGAGTTCAAGTATCGAAATCTCAGCAAGATCAAAAGCTGGACTTCATATTACTGGTATAATTCTAATCTTGAAGTCATCAAATGTATAAGGGTCACCAATTAAAATTATGGCATGCTTACAAAATGCATTAACTTAAATATTAGTAAAATTTCATATTATCTAAAATTTCTAAACATAAAACCAGACTTTTTTTTTTCCAAAGCTGCGTCTGTTCATACTCATCGTGTGAGATTGCAACACAATAAGCAATATATCATTCATCAAAACCGCAGCAGTGCACACATACAACTGCTCGATTTCGTCTCGTCCCAAAAATCGTAACTAAATCGCATAAACTCCAAACATTATCACGCTCGGTTTAGTCGCTTCTTCTACATTTACACGAGACAAACATACGAATATAATGTACGTACATCTCTTCTTCAAACTTTACCCATCACCCAAAACGTTTCTTGAACAAGTGATGTCTCGGCTTATTGCTATCCCTCTTTGCTGCTTTTCCGCTACTGCAGTAAAAGAAAATGTCAAGTTCAGAAATGCGCCAAACGGACATTTTTTTTTTTCACACAATTTTGAAACATTTTCATTCGTAATGCACATGATAATTTGAAGCTAAAAGATCTTGTAATAGGAACTCGCAAGATGTGAAGTAAAAGAGAATACAGATAGAATTTCAAACGGATTGGAGGGGGAAAAAAAATCTCATACTTGAACTCCATGTAAAGCTTTCCGTGGGCCCCGGACATCATACTCATGGGTTTGAATGAGCGACGAGCTTTTTGCAACGCTATGCCATCCGTGTCTTCTTCTAACTGCTCTAATCCAACGGCATCATCGCCAGCCGTAAGCACCTTTTTTCAAGAGCAAAGCAAAACCAACGACATTAGCAATTTCCGGGCCAAAAAACATTTTCTAATTTCTACTTTCATATTAAATGGAAAAAATGGAAATAGAATATAACCTTTGCAAGAAGGTTAAGCTGATCTTCAAGACGGTAGAAATTGAGCTCGGGTCCCGAGTCGGGAGGAGGCAAGCTCGTAATTACCTAGAAATCAGTACACGCGGTCGCAAATTACTACTAATATCCTCTAACGAAGAAAAGTAAACAATAAAAACACATTGTACCTTAAAACTATAACCTTGATCGATCAAAAACTGCTGCCTTTTGGTGGAATAATACATCTCCTGCATCAAGTAAGATGGGAAAATGTCAAACAAAAGATAGGAAAAAAAAAAAGAAAAAAAAAAAGCACCATGTGAATCTCGGGCAGTAGAAGGCAAAATTACTTGAGTGTCAGTAGAAACAAGAGAGTAGAAAAATGCATTGTACTCCTCCTTGCCTCCCGCCACCCTGTCTTGAGGCTTCCCCTGTCGACCAAGCACATTTTCTCAAAGTAAGAGCAACTGGTTTTTTTTTTTTTTTTTTTTTTGTGTGTGAAAAGATATATAACTTTATTGAGTCTCATTTTTACTGAGAACTCTGTATGCATATGAAAATTACACACACCTTAGCCCTGAGAATACGCCCAAGTCGCTGAGCCTCCTGACGCCTTGAACCAGCATGTGATGAAATCTGAATTATCACATTTGCCTCGGGAATATCTATAGAATTATCACCAACCTGTAAATAGAAAGTGAGGAATTTTGCTAACTTACACCGTTCGGGTCATTATGTTAGACCTTAATAGGAATATGGTAGCAGCATACCTTTGAAAGGAAAATGGTGTTGACATCTCGGCTGGTTTTAAATGCTTCAAGAATTTTAGTTCTTTCAGGGTGACTGCAAGTAACAACAATACGCTAGATTATAATGATAATAATACTATTGATTCACAAACAGCATAAATTTTACTGAATATCACACAGACAGACCTCGTGGCACCATAAATCATAGGTTTTCTAAGCTTCGTAGCATACTCAGTCAGTGCAAAAAGGTTATCGGCAAAAACAATTATCTTATCACGCCGCTCCCGTTCGTGAAACTTGATGAGGAACTCACAAGCCCTGAATTTATTCGGGTTCATTACGTAAAGAGCCTAAAAATAGAAAAAAAAAATACAAGAATCAGAAGTGGCAAACTTAATCGCGAATATTGGTTAAAATTCTGCGTAATGTGTCGGAAATTATAATATCTAGAATTCTAAATTACTGTCATTTTAAACAAGAGAAACAAAAATATACGTGACAAACACCAAGGTGATTCACACAAATTTATGATACGTAAAAAATGATGTCTATTGAACAAACCTGTTTCTTCTTTGAATTTTCTTTTTTCAGGTATTCAGCAAAGAACTCTTTTGTCATAGGGCACCAGACTTCTGCACACTGAACGTTTGCGATGAAACCTCCTTTCACTAAGTCCAACCAATTTGCTTCATACAATTTCGGACCGATAAGAAAGTTCAAGTCCGTAATCCTTTCGTCTTCTCTTACAAGAGTTGCTGCATATGAGTTGGTATTAACAAACTATCCTTTAATCATCTGAGATAGAAAAAAAATAAAAAATAAAAAACATGCGTGATGATATGATCACGATTCTTTCAATAACTTTATATTCATACACACCCGTAAGCCCGAGTTTGCAGTGGGATTTTGTGAGACTAATGACCTTCCTGAACATGTGAGCAGGAACCACATGCACCTGAAATAATTATAGTTTTGTTAGAACAAAGAACATCAGTATTAATCATAGAGCCATTCAACCTTCGAGTATATGAAATATGAAGCAAGAAAATGTCAAACATTCACTAATAAGATATCCACCTCATCCATGAGAAGCAGTCCCCACTCTCGATTCCTTATTTCCTCAATAATTTTTTCAGCTTCTTCAGAACGTTTGCCATTAAAAGCGATCATATTATATGTTGTCACCACCACTCCAGAATTACCACGGAATCTCTCTTTGCTATCGGATGTAAAACGACAGATTTGCTCTTCCCTAATGGTTGACCATAATTTAAACTGGAAAGCCCATTGATCAACAGACACGGCATTTGTAGCCAAGCAAAGACAACTCTTTTTAATTCTGCAAGCAGCAGATACCCCAACCAAAGACTTTCCGGCACCACACGGTAGTACAATGATACCAGAACGCGCTCTGCCTGAAAGGTAAAAAAAAATCTACATAAGAAACGCAAGAAATTCTCCGAGAAAAAAATAGCTAGTTAGTTCAAGTATATGACCATATCTCCTTCACAGAGATCAACCACTAGACAGTAAATTATCCAATAACTAATGTTAAATAATAATATATGTGCGTGCGACTTGAGATCTTAAACTGTAATATGCTGCCTAAAAATATCAAATTGTGCAACAAACAATCACTATGTCCAAGATGACAAGATATGGTCATTTGTTTTCCTGTGACTAGGAGATATTAGAAATAAGTTGGTGCAAGCTCGAAAAAAAAAAAAAAATGTAGTGTGTTCGCCTCTTCAGTTCTAAGGCTTAAAGTTAGCTACAAGTGATTTAACACAATTTTGCAAGACGTTGAGTGATGGGACAAATATTAGGAGCCTCACCATTTCCAAACATCTTACTCAGACTCTTTTCTTGATATGGGCGTGGCTGTGCATGTGGCTTCAGTTCCATGTCAAGATCAGGATTGACCTGCAATATTATCAATGTCAAATAACTTCTCAACAAACCATATGTATGCATTACTTCATAAGTTATAAGTACAGCTGCTCCAGCTGTCAATTGTTAAAACAAGCTTGTTTATTAAATTCCACATTCTGGATAAAACCTAGACTCACCGTATCATTTCTGAAGTCGTACTCCTCCAACATAGGATAATTGAGAGCATTTGGCAAACAGCGCTGCTTTACATTTTCGACCTGTAAATAAAGGAAGTAGTTAATGACATATTAAGTCAATTAAAAAGAAAAAAAATGATGTCATAAAATGACATGGATCATTCAATTGAAAAGGTGTGAAAGCTGTTCACCAATTTGGCAAGCAATGTTTCGTCATGTTTACTTATTAGAATAAATCAAAATGGTAAGTCGCGAAAAGAAAAAAAATTATATACTTAAATAGGAGAGGTATTAGCCAGTCAATTTGTGTACTTAACCATAATGCCAGGAAAATAACAGAAAACCAAGTCAAGTATACCAACAAGCATATTCAGGGATTGTGCATGCAAATTATACCACATGAAGAAGATTTAAGTTGATTGGTCCAAACAAACAAAAAGCAGATTAACATGAAGAAATATCTGTGGCCAAATTCGTTTAGTAACTCCAATTTTTATCATTTCTGCAATATAACAAATCTGACTGAACTATCTTAGTTTGTCTAAGTTAGTCACTTTATGCTTGACGTGCAGGTACCAGAATTAAAAGGACTGGGCATAATGGAAGAGAATACAGTATAAAATAATTTATCCAGTAATGCCACTGGAGTATGGAAAAATATGTCTTAGCAATCAGGACAGTATATTTGAGAGGCATGTCGATCTACCTGAGCTGGATCAATTTCAAATGCATGAGTTTCTTTTTCTTCAGCAGCAGCAGCCAAATCTGCTTCATCCAGCAACTCATCATGTGCACCTTCTATTTCACCAGCAGATTTGCCAATTGTGAATCCATCACCTCCACGATTTTCCTGAAAAGAACAGGTTTCAACGCAGCTAACAACATGACGTATACTTAAAGCTCTAGTATCATATAGGGTTATAAACAAATCAAACATTCGTTATTCTTATTCGCAAAAATTCGGATAAGAGTGGTGTTTAGTATTCAAAATTTATTTGAATCCGAATCGGAATATGCACATATTTGATTAGAAATTATCGAATATTCGATTTGGTTAAAATTATACACATATTAAAAAATTATATATAATCTAACATTTTAATTATATAATATGTAATACGTATAAATATAGTAAATATAAATATAAAACACAAAAAATATGTTTATACTTAAAAAAGCATATTTAAATTATTTTAAAAAAAAAATGTATCATATTCAAAAAAATATTTAAAAAAAAAATCTGAAACAAATTTGGAATCAAACCGAATATATTCGATTATCTTAATCGAATAAAAAACGATTAAAAATTAAATTTAATAACGAATCGAATACAAATATTCGAACATTTCACGAATTCGAATCAAACAATTGAGTATTCGCTTTGATCGTTTACAACCCTATCAGACATGCAACAGTAGTCCAGCCATGGTAACTTAATGATAAGGTCACCCCATAATTCAATTTCCCTGAGCACATACCTCAGGAGATATTCTTGCCCGTCCTATAACTTCATCTTTAAGCAACTTTTTCAACACCTGAGAAGAGTCATGTATTGTTTATTTTAATAAAACATTCCATGTTATTTCAACCCTAAAACATTCCATGTTATTTCAACCCAGTAAGAGATGGGATTAATGTAAATTGCCTCTGGAAATGGAGACTCCACAAAGTATTTATTCTTTTTTAGCACAAGCTTTACTTTCCCATAGTTAGCAGTAGAACCATGAATAAAATCAATCATCTCCTTCGGAAGCTTGGTCTTTGAAAGTTTATTCAGGACAGATATAATCGTCTCTGTTTCTAGTCCCACTGAGACTGCAGCGTATAAAGAATGTGGGGTCAAGTTGTACTCGTGCATTGACTCGGGCCTGTAGAATAGTACTGGCATTAAACCCGATCCAAATAAGTTTTAATAGTACATCACAAAATGAAGCGTACATGGAAACACAGAGAAATAAGTTCAAGTTTATTTTTGTGGACACAGGATATATTTCAAGTTCTCAATCTTATTCCTTTATTTAGCTGTTCTGTTCAGCAGTACCTTTCATTAGTTTTACAACAATGGCAACCTAGATTTAGTTCCTCTGATTACCCTAATGGGACTTTTGGGATGCAAGGGACTTCATAACCTTGTATTTCCATCTGTTCTTTATCTTTTATATCATTCATGGTTAGGTTAATAATAAATTTCTTTTCGTTTGCCATGAACTGAAAAGAGCATCTTTGGTATGTGATTACAGAATACCCTTTTACAGATGGAACTGATTACCAGCACTGATGTTATAACCTATGCAAGAAACCTATGAAAACTGATCTATAATTATCAGATTAGGACTTGAAACATTATTCCCAATAGATCAAATGCAAACTAGGTATCATTCTGCAAATGATGGAGCTGTAATTCAACTTTGTATCTAAATTGGCAGGAGCAGCTAATAAAAAAGTTGGGGATGCATTATTCAGCATACTACCCCCCACAATAATACCTGCAAACTGGTTCGGCAATTGCAATGAGGAAATCATAGGCCTGTTTATACAGTGGAGAGAAAGTCTCCAAGAAAATTCGCCCATCCGCGCAAGCCCACAACGGACGGTTCACGTGATCAGGCTTAAGTTCCAATTTTGAGAAATCCCTCTTTTTCCCTTCACCTTAAAAATTGACCCAAAAAAAGAAAAATCCCATCAATTTATAATTTCCAAATAATCTAAAAACAGAGGCACGCAATGGGAATTTGTGCAACAAAACACATGTTTATGCGCACCATCACGAAGATCGTCATCAAATTCTTCCGGGTCAACATCTTCAACGGCTTGAGCCCTATGCTCCTCCTTTAAATCAACAAACACAAGACGAGAAATTTTTAGAAAATTCAATTGGAGACGAGATATGAACAATTAGGGAAGCCATAGATAGCGAATGAAAACCAACAGAACAACTCAATAAAGTTTTTAAACGGACCTTCGCGAACTTGGGCTTCTTGCTGGGGCGACCTCGTTCACCTGAAACACAAAAATGAACATTTTTTTACCAAATTATACGAATCAAAATCCAAATCTAAATTTTGATATCAGTCGCGGTAGAAGATCGATCAGTGCAAAAATCCACTTTCAATTATTTGCTTAAATTTTTTCCTACGTCTGTGTAGTCATCAGAAAAAATTACCGTTTCCCATTTGTGGCCTCGAGAGATTTAACCAGAAGAAAAACAGGGCGAATCGAATGTGATGTTTGTTGACAGTGATTGGCGGTGATGTCGCGGAAGATCTGGCAGGCGTCCGGCTGGATGATTGAAGAAACCGGTGGGGGAGTCGATTGTGGCGGGGATGGAGGAGAGGACGGCGTTGAGGCTGGCGGCGTAGGTGCTGTTTACAGTGTAGTTGAAGCTGAAGGAAGAGGAGTGGGCAGAGAGAAGAAGAGGGAGCTTGTGGTGCAGTCGATTGTGGCGGGGATGGAGAAGAGGATATTTGTTGCTGTGAGCTCAGCGATTATAAATATATGGAAAAATTGCACCATTAGTCCACTAACTTTTTTCTAATTGCACTTTCGTCCTTTATTTGTTTCCAGTTTATAAATTGTACACTAATTTTTTTTTTTTGGCAATTTTGGTCCAAAGTCACATTCCGGTGACCATTTTGCTGATGTGGCTCTCGGAGCAGCTGATGTGGCGCTTAGTCATCCTGAAATTTCTTGTCAGCTCCTGATGTGTTACAAGCTGGGCCCATCAATTTTGACACTAGACAAAAATAATATTAAAAAAGTAGAAAAAAACAAAAAAAAAATATAAAATCCACATCATATTTCATTAAACAAAATAAAAAAAACGAATTAAGGATAAAAAAATCGAAATCAGAACGAGAATTTTTTCCCAGATTTTGCTCCTCAAATCTCATCGGATTATATTTTTCATAAAAATTGTTTCTTGAATCGTAATAGCTACAGCTTTGTCGAGCCCACATCTGTATTGGATTCTGCGAAAATTCCCAGCCGATCCTCATCCTCGTCAAACCTATCTTCATCTCTCGGCGGTGTCGGACGCCAACCCCTCTCCCAAATGGCAGCAGCACGACTCCACAACTGCCACCAACTCCAATGCCGGCGGCAGGGGCGACGGAGCTGACACCGACCTCCTCCCCGTCCCCCCGTCACTCGTTATCGGCGTCGGAGCTCGATTTTAGAGGCGGCTTTTGCGTCGAACGTGGATCAGGGTTTCAGCTCCGGTGAATACTTCATGCCCGCGGCCCCAAATTTCCCCAACAACAGCAGATCTGAAAAGAACAACATCGATTTGTCCTCAAATCCGACCATTAATTTGAATTTGAAATTTTCTCAGAATGTAATGCAAAAATAAATTGATCCCACATTGATGGCTTTTGTTCATTCTGATTTCGATTTTTTATCCCCAATTCGTTTTTTTTTTTTATTTTGTTTAATGAAATATGATGTGGATTTTATATTTTTTTTGTTTTTTTTTCTACTTTTTTAATATTATTTTTTCCTAGTGTCAAATTGATGGGCCCAGCTTGTAACACATCAGGAGCTGATAAGAATATGTTGTAACCACTAGCGCTCGATAACGATTTGGCGTGGATGAGCCACTCCAATAAGATTATGTTGTACCCAAACGCCTGCCCCAACAGAGAGCGTCGGTGTAAATCACATGCGCCCTTGGCCACTAAAGAAGCCAAAAAATAATAACAGTAAACAATTTGTACTTTAAATATGTGTACGAATGAACATTAAATTTTATTGAAATTGTGTGGTAATAATTTATTTTTATTATTTCACTACATTGACAAAAAATATAAAAATAAAAAAATATTTCCAATCACGACATGCTCAAACCATTTTGTTCGAAATAAGGTGTATGCAATGCAACACCACTAGGTAATTTATCTTTCTATTTTTTTCAAATTGTATTTCTTTCTCTTCAAATAGAATTTGGTGGACAAATTAGTTTAA